TTTACTTCAGGCTTTCTATTATATGCAATCAGGTATGTTATTGAACTTCATTTCTGCTTTCAGGGGACCATCCACTTTAGCTACTTTTGTAGCTGTATATGCACTGTTTGGGCCAACCTTTCCTGGAATTTATGACAAGGATAGAGGTGTCTACACTCTATTGTACCCAGTATGTAATTTTAATTGCTTAATCTTCATATTTCTTTATTTTATCTCCTTATTCACTCATCTTACAAGATGGAATCTGTTTTATGTTTCTACCAACCATGGCTGTGTCAGGGACTTTCCTTTGCTTTTCCAATTCCTAACCAGTATACAGATTGCTGCCATGATGGAGAAGGTATAGTACTGACATTTTTTACTCAATAATTTTTTGATTTACGGATTTTGCTAGTTCTAACAACTTGATTTTTATTGCTTTTGATTATGAAAGCGGAATTACCATTAGAGTTTCCAGATGGAACCACACCAGTTACGTGCCGTGTCTCCATTTATGACAGTTCTACAGATAAAAAAGTTGGTGTGGGTTCCTTGATGGATAAGGCTTCTGCTCCTCCATTACCAATTGGCAGCCTCTATATGGAAGAGGTGCATGTTAAGGTTTGATTTCTTTCTCCATCTTCTCTGCATGATTTCCATTAAACCCTGGTTTGTTTTCTCCTATTACATCAACTGTCCAGCATGAAGGATGGGCATCTTGGAGATTATAAACCATGATTCGGAGAATCAAGGGCTTTTGTTTTGTGGTTCCTTCATGAGTGGTTTACTATTGGCCCCCAATGTTTCGCGTGCAAATTATTTCAGTGTACTTGTTTGAAACTGGTGACTGTAGTTCTTGGATGTTATTCAATTCAAATTTTATTTTATCCAGCTAGGGGAAGAATTATACTTTACTGTTGGTGGTCAGAATATTCCTTTTGGTGCATCGCCTCAGGCAAGTTCTTGATCTCCTGCTGTTAAGCTATAGTTTGTCTTTCTTTTTGGCTGGGAAATTCTTCCATTGTTCTGTTGTTTGTCCTGCGTAACAGTTTCCTGTTTTTTACAGGATGTTTGGACTGAATTGGGTCGTCCTTGTGGGATACATCAAAAGCAGGTATTGCTGGTGTTACATCTAAGCATGTTTTCTAAATGCATTTGCCATATTGGTGACCGTTGATTCTGTTTGCTGTGTAGGTAGACCAAATGGTTATTCATTCTGGATTGGACCCTCGTCCACGGACAACACTCTGTGGCGATTACTTCTACAATTACTTTACCCGTGGTTTGGACATTTTATTTGATGGGCAGGTATCATTTATTCTTCTGGTTGTAAATGTACATTGATGATGTTTTGCATGATAATGTTTGTGCTCGGACATTTTCAGATCACTTTTCTCTTTTGTTTGTCTCCAGACTCATAAAATCAAGAAGTTTGTTTTGCATACAAACTATCCTGGTCATGCAGATTTCAACTCATACATAAAGTGCAATTTTGTCATCTTTGCTTCTGACTGTAAGTCCTTTTCTGATTCTGAAGTTTACAATTGGATCTATGGACTGAAACTGATAGCATGGTTTTTTTTTTCATCCTCGCAGTAGGGGGGTCTTTTCAGGAGGTAAATAACTGCAAACACAGGATTACACCAAGCACAAAATGGGAGCAAGTGAAGGTAAACGTTCTATTGGCTAGTCCTTTTCAGACTGTTATAGTTGTTGCATTGTTTTCCAATAGTAACAGCTTTCTCATGGTAACCTAATTGTATCCTTGATGGCATCTTTCATCAGTGTACTCCTTTCAGTGTATGTTGATCATGATTGTGGTTATATTAGTAACAAAAGAATGCTCTTTGTAGGAAATCCTTGGGGACTGTGGCCGAGCTGCCATCCAGACACAAGGTTCTACAAGCAATCCATTTGGATCTACTTTTGTATATGGTTATCAAAATGCTGCATTTGAGGTGAGTTGATGAATGTTTGATTCAATCAATTCCCCCTTTCCCAGTAATACGGAAAACAAAGTTGTAATTTATATGCCAACTCGAAGTTCTTCGTAGTGCAACAATTATTTGCACAAGTACGGTTTTTTCCAGTTAGTGCGCTGTTATGGTTGTGCTTATGATTGGTAATAAATATCATGTTGATAATCAACAGGTGATGAAGAATGGTTACATTGCAACTGTGACTCTTTTCCAGTCATGATCTTGTTGCTTCTACAGGTATTCTTAGTAATATCATGTTCCCTTACACATTGGAAAGCAACTGCATTGTTATATTCCATCTATGAGATGATCATCAACAAGGCTGGTTATATTTTTATTTTTAATTTCTTTTTGGGGTATAAATGTATCTCTTGCTTCATTGTTTTGATTTTTGTTTGGCCCAGTTGGATAATGGCATTTCATGGGGACACAGGCGGGACTTTTACTGTCTGTGAAAGCGGCTCATACTGTTAGCAAATGTGAGAATGCCAGGGAGCGATGACAATTGTACAGTTATGTATATCGACTTGTACAGAATAAATTGTACTGTAAAAACATGTATCTATCTTCTGTTATGGTTGAAAATGGAAGTTTGTAACTTCTTGTATGCTCAATCCTTGATTGTATGTATGATGAAGTTAACAATCGATCGCCAGTTGCTTTCTTGCAACCTACAAAGCCTGTCCATAGTGCCAGATTTCTTGTAACCGGCTCTGCCTGCCAATCGTTGGGGCATGACAGTATCAATATACATATGATCAACATAAAAATAAGGATTCATTTACACGTGCCAAGCAGCAATTTGAGTTGCTATTTTCATCTGGGCCCAACGCTTTTTCTTTTTAAATAAATAAACTCTTTTAAGGGTTTGCAGCTATTTCCAGTTACGTAATGCTCTCATGAAATCAATCAGATAAAATTGCGATTGTTTGAATCAATTGAATCTAATCGGAAAAAAAAAAAGAAAAAAAAAGCTAAACCGGTTGAGTGTAGGGATGGCAATGGGTCGAATCGGGGGTGGTTATGCCATTCCCATCCCCATCCCCGTTAAGCTTTTTTCTCCTATCCCTGCCTTCATACCTGCAATATTCATATCGGCGATTCCCCATCCCCACATTCGTTGGGGAATGGGTTCCCCGACCCGCCCCATTAGGGAAGAAAAAACCAATATATAACTACTTTGTTGAAGAAAAAAAAAGTTCTAAGGCCATATAATGAATATATATAATACATACGTACATGACAATATAAGAATGTTTATATATTTATTGGAAGTTAACTAAATAAATCATTAGTGTGGCTTAAGATTTGTATAAATATATATAAGTACATAATATAATAATATAAAATATAAAACTTAGTCGGTACAATCACTTTAACAGCATATTTATATATACTATAATATATGTATATACCTCATCAAAATAAAAAAAAAAATAAAAAAAAATAAAAAAAAAAAT